TCCCCATGGGAGGACATCCTGGGATGTCACAGAGCTGAACTGCCCCAGRAGCCCCAGGAGGGACCGGGGCCATCCCCCTGGAAAAGCCAGATGCCGTCGAGTTTGGTTGGTCTTTTCTTCCTCCCTGTGTTCCTGTAAGGATGAGATTCCACCCAAGAAGTCCRGGATTATCAGATTTTGCCATGGCAACGTGTTATTATAAATGCAAATGGAAGAGTGGAAAAGGGGGGAAGCCTTTGGTTCTCCTAATGAGATGACAAAAGGGGATAACAGTGAAATATTCCATGTACTTTGAAAGTGGAAAAATCCTCCTCTCCTCTGCCACTTTTTTTTTTTTTTTTTCTGGAGAGCTGCTCGAGAGCTTTTGGCTAGAGCCCATGGAAGAAATAATTTGGTTTAATTTCATTTTTATTTAGTGAGTGGTGGGGTTGACACTTCACCTGCACCATTGGAAGGTCTTAGTGGTTGCTGCTGGTTTGGGAATTTGCTCTCCTGGAGGACAAGAAAAAGATCAGTGGGAACATCATTCCTTTTAAGTGAGGATTTCACAACCAGAAGCTGCTCTCCCTTGACCTTCCATTTGTATTTACAGCACCTGAGCCAATCACACGCTCATTAGACATTTTCTGCATGTGGAATGAGGGAACTAATTGGGTTTAATTTTGACAGAGAGAAGCCTTAGCATGCGTGGAACTGGTGAAGGGTAAAATGCTCTGCAGGACCTTGTACAGAGAGCACCTGTATCATCGGGTTTTGGTTTTGTTTTTTTTTTTTTTTAATTATCCGTCAGTATTTACCTCCTTCACTTGTACAAAAACTTTAAAGAGCACCATGAAAACCAGCACTGAGCAGCCTCAGTGCCAGATCACCCCTACCCTGGCAAAAGAGAAGTTTGAGTTATTGCACCTGCCAACCCCAGCTACTCTTCATGGAAAAGAAAAAAAAAAAAACCAAAGGCACTCTGAGGGTACTGGTCCTCTCACAGATCTCCACATGTAAACAGCAGCGTGTGGGGACACTTCCCCTTTTGGGATCTCAAAAGGATCCTGTTTGCACAGTTAGGAGCCTTTCCAGGCACTCCCAGTGGTTTAGGGCTGGTTACCAAAGCTGAAAACAAAACCTGCTCCAAACTGCCCTGGTGTGTCTGCAAACCCCAGTCCGGCGGCTCCCCCCATTCACGGCGCCCCTTTCAAGGTCCTTTAAAAATCCATTTCTTTAATGCTCCTGCAAACTCCTCCCTGCCTGCCCAGCATTTTCTTTTTGCTAATTTGATGAAGACCACACACGTAAAATCAAATGCTTTTGTCATTTGCTTCTTATTGTCCCCACTTGGKGAAAGGAAGCATCGCCTGCATGGTGTGATCATAAACATGGGAGTTCAGAGCCTGGCACCTCTCCAAATGTTCGTTTTTCAGGGCAGATTTGGGATAAGTGTGAGGTTTCATGGTAACTATCAATTCTGGGACTGGCTGGAAGCACCAGGACAGTTCCTGTGTGCTGAGTGTCCAGGGAAGGGAATGGAGCTGGGAAGGGGCTGGAGGGGCTTAAGGGAGCTGGGAAAGGGGCTCAGCCTGGAGCAACGGAGGCTCCGGGGGGACCTTCCCAGGGAACAGGGACAGGATGAGGAGAAAACGGCCTCAAACTGTGCCAGGGGAGGCTCAGGGTGGACACCASGAGGAATTTGCCCATGGAAAGGGTGCTCAGGCCTTGGCAGGGGCTGCCCAGGGAGCTTTGGAGTCCCCATCCCTGGAGGTGTCCCAGGAAGGGCTGGAGGTGGCACTGAG